ATATATATATATATATATATATATATATATATATATATATATATATATATATATATGATATTTGCACACATTTCTAATCATAATAGTTTTAATAACTCATTTCTAATAACTTATTTATTTTATCTTTGCCATGATGACAGTAAATAATATTTGACTAGATATTCTTCAAGACACTTCTATACAGCTTAAAGTGACATTTAAAGGCTTAACTAGGTTAATTAGGTTAACTAGTCAAGTTAAGGTAATTAGGCAAGTTGTTTTATAACAATGGTTTGTTCTGAAGACTTAAGGGCCTAATAATTTTGACCTTAAAATGGCTCATGCAAAATTAAAAACTGCTTTCATTCTAGCCGAAATAAAACAAACAAGTCTTTCTCCAGAAGAAAAAAATATTATCAGACATACTGTGAAAATGTCCTTGCTCTGTTAAACATCATTTGGTAAATATTTAAAAAAGAAGAAATAAATCAAAGAGGGGCTAATAATTCTGACTTCAACTGTGTGTATATAGATAGATAGATAGATAGATAGATAGATAGATAGATAGATAGATAGATAGATAGATAGATAGATAGATAGATAGATAGATAGATCGTAACAAGAACTGCTGCTTAATTGAATGCATGTTATAGCGACACCCGGTGGTTATTTATTGAATTACGTTAATTTTTGTATAGCGGGCCAGATTCTATTGAAATTTATAAAAAGCCTCGCGGGCCGCCACAAAACTGATTGGGGGCCGCAGATGGCCCGCGGGCCGTAGTTTGGACACCCCTGATGTAAGATAAGCTTTTAGTGTCTCCGGAATATTTCTCTTATGTTTCAGCTCAAAATAACCATCAGATCATTTATTATAGCCTCCAGAATCTGCACATTTTGGTGTCTGAGTATACTGTAGCTGCTTTTATAGCCTGTGGCTTTAACCCTCAGGGGTCTGAGGGTGTTTTGGGGCTCTGGAGAAGTTTTGACATGCACTGACATTTGTGTTGTTTTCAGTATCTCAAAAACATATTAATGGATAAAGTGAGATAACACTGTAAACAGCACGAGCTGGGCTACAATAATACCTCAGCAGAATGTTTGTATGTGTTTGTGTTTTTGAGAAAGAAACGTTTATGCATGGTTGGTGAAAAACTAAAAATTTTGAAGTCACTGAAACAAGGCTGTGAAACACACAGAGAACATTTGTGCACAAAACTTTTGAGAACAGCATCTTGTAGCCGAGTGTTTTTGCTTCAAAATGATGTGAGAATCATCTTGTTTACTTGCTCGCAGAAAACAATACAATGAATTAAAATTTTTAAGTCACTTTCTGAGTGAAAATGGTCTATGCAAGAAGCCGTGAACTATCATTACTATGCAGTGAGTCACATTTGAGAAAAAAAGATTTGCATAATGAGCTACATAATGAGCCATCAGACAGGAAAGTGACTAAGAGTTTCAAGAAAAAAATCTGAGAAGTTTATATATATATTTTGTTTGTAGTTTATTTAAAGTATATCTAACTATCACACAAAATAATTCGAGATACACTTGTGAGAGTCAGTACACTGTATAAAACTCTGTAACTGTATAAACTTACACATGGCAAATCTACTGAAAGAATAAGCAAGCTGATTACATAAACTACATTATTAACATTTTTGTGATATTCACTGATACTAGTACTAATTTACCTAATAAACTCAGTGACCACATAGGAATTATAAACTGAATAGCACCTGTTTTGTAAACAACTGTATTTATTTTTTTACAATAGCTTAGCATATGCATACTTAATGAGAGAACAGAATGCAAATAACAAAGAAACTATATTTTAACACTAGTAACCAGAAATAAGTTTACCATACTCATATGAAGAAACATTATTAGTAATGTATAGTCAATAAGTTGTTTTGAACCATACTATAGTAAAGTACTTGACATAATTTGTTTTATTAATTCAATAGTTGCTG